CCAAGGCATGTTATAGTCAAATTGGCAAAACTCAAAGACAAAGAGAGAATCTTAAAAGCTCTGCTGTACCGTACATCCGCCGGCAACAAAGGCCAGGAAAGACGGCAGCGGTGATGCAGAGACGGAGAGGAAGGCGCGGGACAGGCCCAGCTCTGGGAGCTTTGTGAGTGACCCCCAACCCAGCCCCGCTTGGGAGGCAAAGGCCCACCCGGCCCCCGCTTACCACACCAGGCTAGGCGCCTTCATCAGCGCTGCCTCCATTTTCTCCGGGGGGGGGTGGAGCCGGCTGGCTCAGATCCGGCAAGCCAGCCATCTTCGCTTGGCGTGGCTCCTCACTGAGCCGTGCCACTTGTGTGCCTAAGCGTGGGGCCCCCCGGGGCCTGTGGACCGGCCACCAATCTTACTCCACCCGCGGATCTCTGGCGGGGCTGGTGGCATGGGGAGCTCCCGGCCAGCATCGGGAGGGCAGGGAAGAGGATCCTGGCCAGACCGTCACTCCACCATACCTGGGGCTTCGGCCCCAGGTAAACTCCCTGCTTCCTGGAGGCAGATACCATCTCTGTGGCCTTCAGTTCAGAAAAACCCCAGACTGATTTCTGGTTGGGAGAGGGGTGACCGGGGTGCCCCCGAGCCCACTTGATCCTGCCAGAGAGCTGACGGCCTGAGGGCGCCGAGCTGGCTTACGCCGGGGGGATTCAAAGAGGAACTGTGTGCTGTGGGATCCTCCCCCGGGGGGCTCGCGCCCTGGTGTGGGAGATAACTCAACCACACAGGGGGCTGCAATACCGGGGGGGAAGGTGGGAGGCCCAGAGAGGATCTTGACCAGGGCTGCAGGAACGCCCACAGTGTCCGTGGTGGAGGCCTGAGACCCCTTTGGGGTTGGGCGGGGCTGAGAGATGAGGATTGCAGAAGACACGCCCCAGCCCTGTACTGAGCACACAGAGAGGGGAGGGGTCTGGCAAAGGAGGAGGAGTCTCGGAAAAAAAGACACACCCTCCGGGAGGCCCCATCATTTGCACACAGAGAGGGGATACGCCCGGATAGCGAGGCAGAGACTTACAGATCTCACACACGCTGTCAGGCCGGCAGGACAGGATCCAGCTGCCAGGGCCAGAACTCAAGGATCAGGGAGAAC